TTTAGATTTTTATTTTTATTTTCCCCTTTGACCGTGAGTAGTTTAGAAATGTGTTGCTTGCTTTCCAGATATTTGGAGAATTTCTAGACTTTTATTTCTAATTTATTTATTTTGCTCCGAGAATATAACATGTGTTTTTCTAGTCCTTTAAAATTTATTGAGACTTGTTTTAGGTGCCAGGAAATGGTCCTTCTTGGTGAATGGTCTATGTGGACTAGAAAGAAAAATTGTATTCTATGTTTATTTTGTGTCTATGTGACAATTATGTCTAGTTGGTTGATGGTGTTGTTAAAATTTTCTATAGCTTTATTTGTTTTCGCTCGCTTGCTTTATCAGTTTCTGAGAGATGTGTATTCGAATTTCCAGGTATCATTGTGGTTTTGTCTGTTGTTCCTTTTAGACACACGTAGGTAGTGTCAATCGTCTGGGAACTTTGTGAAAACAGGGCTCATTACTCACGAATCCTGTTTGCACAGGGCCACACAGCAAAGCTGAGAATAAAGAAAGCGTGGACCGGGGGTTCTGCCTTCATTGGGGTTGAGGGTGGGAGACTGAGGATTTTTCGGGTTTACTCTTTATTGGTGAATTTAAAACCTAGGAACAGGCGTTTAAGCAACAGAAAAGAAAAGCAGGATCACCGGAGGGGTCATTTATTTTTTGGTCACCCAGGGCTTTCTAAAAAGGGGAACATCACAGGCAGGCTGGCCTGGCTCTTTATCTAGTTGTATAGCTGGCAATGTGTTTATCTGAGATGGGCGTCTTTGAAATGGATGCTCCAGCAGTCAAAGCTTGATGTCAGGCATTTACATTATAATCGAAACAGCTGTCAGGCACCTACACAATATTCCAACTAGTAGTTGAGAATTTTTATTTCTTTACATCCTCACCAGTTCTTGATATTATCTGAATCCTTAATTTTGACTGATGGGCAAAGTGTGCTGTACAATTGTTATTTTAATTAGCACTCCTCTGGCCGAGGTAGCTGCGAGATAAGCATGAAGCCTGAGTATGCCGGGAGGCTCCTAGGTCATCGTTGCTCTTCCAAGGCTCTCAGGAAGATCAGGGGAATGGGTTACGGTTCATTCGCCCATTTTGCTTTCATCTCCTGGCGGACAGGAAGTCCGCTTGCCATTCTCATGGGGGTTGCCCACTCCCCTGGCCTCTCTCTTTAAACTTTCTGGCTAAAATCTCTCTCCATGTGGGTCCATCGTTCAGCTCTGTGGGGTTGGTGATCAGAGAAGACATACTCCATCTCCAGCTCTGCCCCATGTGGCTCCATTCCATTTGTCCAAAAAGACAGCTTCCTTCCATGACAGCTTCTATTGGCATCCTTGTGTCCATTCTGTCACTGTTCAGTTACGATAGCAAGGCTGGACCTCGTAACTTCCAGGGTTTTTTTGTTTGTTTGTTTGTTTGTTCATCTCCTTTGGTCATACCTAAATTAGATTGTTTAAATGCCTTTTGACTTTGTCTGACTTTTGCAAACATCTTAAATTCTGGTGTAATAAACCTATCGATCTTTCCCTTTATGATTTGTGTTTAGTTTTGTTTAAGAACTCTTGCCCTATCCCAAAGTCATAAAAATTATTAGAAGAAAATACAAGACTCAATTGAAAGTTTGCTTTTTTTACTTTTAGCTCTTTGATCCATGGAGAATTTATTTTTGGATACGATTTGAAGTAGAGGCATGACTGTATTTTTTCCTATATGGTGAGTGAGTTTCCCCAGAACCACTTCATAAATCACCTGTCCTTTCCCTATGAATGCTGCTGCCACTATTGGGTTCACTTGTCCATTCAATAGGTGGTCTCTGCTTGATCAGTGACTAGAACAGCCTCGGATAATGTCCTAAAAATAAGAGCTTTCGAGAACAGACTAAGTATTTGTACTTCTAAAGCTTGTGTTCTAGAGGCATCCTTCAAATCTCTGCTTGAGCCCCGCCCTTCCCCCCATCCCCCAGCAGCTTTCCCTGATTCCACCCTCCCCCCCACACCCATTTCTGCCTCCTGATGCAGTGGTGGTACAAGGGAGAGAAAGACCAAATCTATCATTCTGCATTGCGTGCTGTTAACTGCATGTATATCTTGGCTGCCTGGCTCTTAGCCCTCGACCAGGTATTATCAGGTCTTTTTCATCTTTGTCCCCAAATCTGGCATTTGCTAATGCTCATATGTCAAAAATTACTCTAGAAACGTTGTCATAAATTTATTCTAAATATCATTTCAAAAGAGTTTTAGGAATAATAGGGCATGAAACAAGCAAAATTAAGCCATAGTCTGAGTTTCTTTCCGAATTCTCAGTTACAGAGATATTATGACATTTAATTCCATATTTGCTTTCATTTACATCAGTACAGCTATAAACCTGGAATGTTCAAAAAAAGTAAATGTGCTTAGGTAGAACAAATATTACTCAGGATAAAAAAAAAATAGGTACACAAATATAATGCTAATCAAAGAGACCAACTTATTAAAAATATGTGTATGTGTACATTATGACAATAGGCTAAATTTGACAATGGGTAAAATTTGATTCTTCTACAGCAATTAGAACAGAATACTTAATTGATTTCAGGTATCATGTGCTTAGTCAAACACATAATCCCCCCGCCCCCCACATTGCCTAAGAGGGGGAGTTTTCTATTAAGTAAATTTGGAAAAATTAAAAATTTTCTACTTAAAAACTTTTCAAAGTCATCTCAAGTAAGCTTCAGCAAAATACCTAATATGAGCCTCAATACAAGCATTCTGTGATAACTGTTGACATGGAAATACAGCAGGGTAACGAGAAACCAACTTAGATGACCTTATTTACTATATACTTATTTGCTGTCTGTTTCTCCCATTTAATTCGCTGCTGTAATTCCAACATGTATAACACTGCCTAGCAACAAATATGTTTTCATACATGAACGAGTGCTTATAACAAGGTATTATTGAAGACGAGGAAGATATAAATTGATCCACGTGAGAATTATTTAGTCAAAAAGGAATATTCTTAAATGCACAGATGCTATAATCAGATAAGGCTAAAATTCGACTGCTCTACTGAGGTTAGGTATGAAGTGACACTTTTCAACTGAAAATTAAATAATAGTTGAAGAAGATCAAATCCCTTTGGAATTCGGGCATGCCAAGCCCAAATCATTGACCTTTTAATTGCAGATCTAATAAGCAGCTAGACACTGAATGGAAAACTGTGTATAAAGACCTTGGTTCCAGCCATGACCGTGTCACTAAGATTTTGGCCAAGGAGAGACAGTTTCCTCAATTATAAAATAGGCTAAGAATACCTGCCCTTCTCTCTTTACAGAACTGTTGTCAGAATCAAGTATAATTAAAATTTATATATCCTTATTCTTTAGTAATCTATTACAAGCAAAATGTCATTATAGTGAACACTGAGAACCAGAATGTCCCTTTGGCAGACACGGAGATGGGCCACTTGGGTCTCCCTTGAAAGGAGAACTTGCTGATCACCAAGTTCTCTGACAGCCTCTAGCTGCAGTGCCTTCTAGACGTCCATAGGCTCAGCTGGGCATCAAGAGTTCCAGCTTTACAAGGAGCACCTTCATCAAATGCTGCCCATCTAACGCAGATTCATCACTTCGCACTGACCTTGGGAAGGAGAGAGGCTGTGCACCTGCTCCGTTGTTAGGAGATGCTACGAGGTCCTCTGAGCGGTCTCATCGTCCGCTATTTTGGACAAGAACTAGTACTGGGCATTGTTTATGTTATTTTCAGTGTCACCTCTTGCCTTTTAATGCTACCTTGGTCTTCTGCCTTAAAGCTACAATTATGTAAATACTCCATGAATTTCATAGGTAGGTTTTGGAAACATTTGAAGTCATTGTGTACCCTTAATTTTAACCAGAACTCTTCAGGTGAAAAAACAAAACAAAACTACCCTGCTATGAGTTTATATATTTTGAGGTGGGCACATCTGTATTTTCAAGTTCTCTCTTTCTCTCTCCTTCGCTCCCTCCCTCCCTCCCTCCCTCCCTCTCTCTTTGTAAGTTAGCTTTTCAACTTGATTGTCAAATTCACAGTGCAGGGAGTGTCCCTGGGAAGACACTGTGCTGGTAAGAAGCCAGGCAAAACGGACACAAAACTGCGCTCTCTTCTTACATTGAGTAAGATCAATAACTCCTCTGAGCCTCGGTATCCTCATCTGCATTGTGAAACAGGGATAAAATTAGACCCTCTTGGCCTTGAGTGGGGACAATATCGTGACGGGTGCAAAGTTTCTGTAAGGTATCACTAATTCGAGGGCAGTTCTTCTTTTCTTTTGAATGGAAGTCCACAAATGGAATTTTTAAAAATTGTGCTTTCCCTCAGCTTAAGTGTATTCTCTTATGACAAAGCTGCTAATTGCATTTGTGTCAAAGCTACTCTAAATAGTGTACTGGAGACTGGCCAGCTCACGCCATAGTAAAAGCATGTCTGATTTCTGTCTTTAAAGTGATATTCAAAAGTGCTCTTTTTTTCTATCCCACTTTTCCCCCCTAAAACCGAATTTGCAGGATTACAAATAAAATAGAGCTAACAACATTCACCCACATCTTTAGCAGAAGGAATCATGAAAACCTTGTCAATTTACACATCCAAACATCTGTGAGATGAAGGCCACGCTGGGCCCTATAAAAGAGCATAGATTTGAGAATCTCACTTGTCCTGCGCGAGCGGCAAATGCTCAAGCATCAGCTTCTCGTAACCTTTGCTGCTCATCCGTAACAGGAGCATAAAGACCGTCTTTATCGTTCTTTCTTTAGAAGATATTTTTAAAAAGCTAGGTTTTATTTTTGCATCTTATAAATATTTCCCTTGTGGTTTGCGCTTTCGAAACCATAATCGATTTTCCAATTTCCAGTATAGAATATCTTTCTCTGCTACGAAGTCGAAGAAGTTATCCCTCAAAGCCACAGAAAAGAATCTTTTGAAAGAAATGAAAAATAATAGAGGCATTGGATCCCCTGCACTGAACCGAAAACAAAGACCAGGCTACCCAGGTGAGAAGTGTTTGCGGAGAGGCAGTGGCCGAGTCAGATAGCATTGTTCCCTGTGGATCCCAGATTTATCTTTCCCGTCAATTAGTACAATAGGAAAATACTTGTAGTGTTCGATGATGTCTTCCACCGAATCAAACTTCTGAAACACAGAAAAGAAAGTTAATGAAAACCTAGATATCTTCCGTGTCTGTAGGATAAAGTACAGATGTTACTTTTACTCAGAAAAGAGGTTAACTCGTTAAAATATTTTTGGGTTGTAAAGGTGGGTCAAAGTGATTTTTAAAAAATGGATGCGGCAGTCCGAGCTCTTGAAAGGATGGCTGATACGGATCATAAGATAGCGAGAGAGAGAAAGGGACTTGGGGAGAGTGGAGGTGAAGCCCACAGCAGCCCTCTCAGCTTCCCGCCAGAGTGTCGACCAGAATCAGGTCACACAGTCACAGGGTCAAGCGTCACTGTTGTTGTCACAGGTTCCTGTCATAAGCCATTCAGATGACTTAGACGAGTTAATTGTACTGCCGTCCCCTTCAGGAACCTGTGGCGCCTCCCTAACGTTGCCCAGGATGGTGGCCACCAAAATGTAGATGATCGAGGCCTGGCCTTGACTTAGCACATGGTGGGAAAGGCATGCCGGGAACGCTCCCTCCTGGAGAGCCCTCTCGTTCTAAGGAATTGGCGCGTGATCAGAAAGATGGGTGAGGGGGATGGCCGCGGGGCTGCCGGTAGTTCTTAGCCAATTTGGCTTCCTCTCCCGGGGCTTCTCGTGAAATAAACAGCAGTCCATTCCACGTGTGTGTTTCTAGAGATGCACAGATAACGCACTGTGGTGATGTGATGGAAAGTAAAATGATTTCAAGTTTAAGGGAATCGGGAAGTGCTTTGCCGAAGATAAAGACTTGAAATGGGCTCTTCATTCTGGGTGATTCTAGATAAGTGGACAAGGAGGTTTTAAAGAGATTAAAAGCGGGGGAAGAAGGAAGGCGGTTGAGAACACTGGCACAGACAGCGTGGAGGAGCTGGGCTGGGATGAATCCTGGGAAGGGAATCCTGCGAGGTGACTAGGACGCGCTTGCGTGACCAGCTTTCTACGCTTTACAACATCGGCGCTCCGGAGCCACCTCGAGTGGTGAGCAGCGACCTTCTCTGAAGAGCCGAGGAAGCTGCGGTTCAGAGGAGGGGATCGACCTGCTCCGAGGTCACACGGCTGCAGGGCAGGGCCAGACACGGCACCTGGTTTTCTGGACACGGGTCAGCTCTTTCCTGATACAACTTTGCCCGTGGCTTGTGACCCTGGTGCTCTGCCAGACCAGGGGAGCCATGATCATGCAGACGGAGGAAGGGCGCCACAGTGGGGTCTGCTGGGGGAAGGAGATGTGGAATGCTGAGTCCCCTGACAGTGATGAGTCCCCAGGTCCTCTCCTTCCTGGTGACAGAGTCGACAACCCTCCCCACTCCGCACTCAGCTCATTGGAGTTGGGTTTAATCTTCTGCCACTGAAAGATTTCTGATTAAATCTGTAAGCGACTTGCCCGTCCGGGCCTGTTGCTGGATCTAGCAGAGTTTGCAGTGAGATGAGCTGTCTGTCTACCGCAGTCGCTGTCCAGTAAATATTAGTTCCTGCCCGATGCTAAGGTTGGGTGGTGTTCCAGTCGGACCGTGACTGGTGTCCTACAGTCGTCGTGAGGGAAGAGTCTGGGGAGCCCCAAAGCCTGGGTTCCCAGCAGAGCTCTCTCACCCACCAGCCGTGCGTCCTCGGGCAAGTTTCTTCCACTCTCTGTCCCTGGTTCTCTACAAACAGGGTGGTGTCATTAGCGCCCACCTCGAGGGCCCCTGAGAGGCTTAGTGAGCTGACGTAGCACCTACACAGCATTTAGAGGGCAGCTCCGGGTACCGCGAGCGCTCAGTAAAGGTCAAGCATCGCTAAGTCCTCCTCCCTTCTGCGTTTGCCAAGAACGCGAGGAAAGCGATGAAATCAGCAGAGAAGTTTATCGGTTGTCACCGTAAGCCCTTAGGAAGAAAGGACATTTTTGTATTTCACGTCTGCGGATAAAGTAAGGACAGAGTTTTCTTTCTCTTTCTGTGTCCTTGACGAAACGAGAAATGATTTGCAAGAAAAAACTTTTCATATAGAATTCTTCTATAAAATGGGTTTACGCACATGTCACAAAGGAAATTCTCTTTCCTGGTATTGATCTTGAGAGGGAAAATGCTTGCTTCATATTCTCATTCGTATTTCCTTTAGGAGGGTCCTGAAATAATGGATTCGATGCTCATTGTTTCAATAATCTACTACGCGGATGACATTTTATATGAAATTGTCATTTTAACAAGTAGTAAGAAGAAAGCAAGGGAGGAGCAATAAATCATACTGTCATTTCTTATTATCGACTTGCGGCGATAGACCTACAACTGACGTAGTGCCCTAAGGAGACTTTTAAGAAGATTATAATGAAGCTTTTATTGTTATATTAAATGACTTTTTTCAGGAGGACAGCAAATGCCATCCTAATATTGGATCTTAAGATGTGTTTAAACCTTTCGTGGTTGCCCTATGTACCAACGGTGGGCAATGTCGCACTGCCAGAAAGGTAAATAAATCCGCGTGGGTATACACAGGGGAGCAGAAGGAGAAGAGAGAGAGAGAGAGAGAGAGAGATACATATGTGAAGAGAGAGGGAAGCAAGAAGCAGACAGGGGAAGTGAGAAGTCAGCCATAGGTCAATTGTCCGTGTCTTCTCGTGTTCAAAGTTTAATTTATCGAATAAACATCTGTCATAATTTTCAGCCTCCGATCATGAGCACTTGCAAGACAAGGAAAGGCCCGATGACTGGGTTGCTCCCTTTGACGAGCTTTCACAGACATGTCGAGACCTGATTCTTAGACCTAGATGCAGCGCCGGGAGTGAATGGCAGGTGCTCTCTGGCTAGCAGGGGCCCTCGAGGTGGGCGCTCATGACACCATCCTGTTTCTACCAGTTGTTAAATATTTCCAACCTGTCTCCTGCTCGGATGCACGCATACATAGGCACAGATTCACTGGTGTCCCGTGGGTGGCAAGGACTCGATCTTACTCTGCTCTCTGACCCCAGAATGGAGCACGGAGTCTAGCACAGTGTAGGCATCAAATTAATGGCTGGCTAAGAACTGAAGAAAGTAGTATTTAGTAAGCTGAATGGTGGTCCCTCCAGTATGTCACATCCTGGTCTTAGCACAGTGTAGGCATCAAATTAATGGCTGGCTAAAAACTGAAGGAAGTAGTATATAGTAAGCTGAATGGTGGTCCCTCCAAGTATGTCGCATCCTGGTCCCTGGAATCTGAGTATTATCTTATATATCAATCAAAAGAGTGACTATTAATTTACATGACAAAAGGTGGGATTAAGTCGAGGGTCTTGGGAGGAGGAACTTACCCTAGGTTATCCCTAAAAGTAATTAAGTGTATCCTTATAAGACAAGCAGAGAAGAATTGGCAGTGTGACCACAGAGACAGAGATTAGAGTGATGTGACCACAAGCCAAGGAAGCCACGGATTGCCGATGGGCAGCAGAAGCTGGAAGAGGCAAGGAACGATCCTTCCTTGGAGCCTCCAGGAGGGACGTAGCCCAGCTGGCACCTCGACTGCAGATTTCCAGCCTCCAGGATTGTGGGAGAAGACATTTCTGTTGTTTTAGGCCACCAGGTTCGTGGTGCTTTGTTACGGCAGCCGCAAGAAACTAATACCCTGGGTCCTCCCTAAATCTGAATTCTGACATGCTTCTAGCCACGTGGCTAACAGAATGACCCAAACACCTGACATGCAGCAAAATGGACCTTCCCAGACGTATTCTTCGCAGCGTACGTGGGTTGCTTGCCTTTTATGCCTGTGAGAGGTGTCGTAGCACCGCTGTGCCTCCAGGGGGCCCTCGTCGTGCTTCCGCAGCTCTCCCGGCCCCTGTGTGAGCTTTTGCCCGTCTGTGCCCAGGGCACACAGGTCTAAGGAAAGGGCTTTCAGGACTCATTTCAGGCGGAAAACGATACTTGCCAAGCATCTGCCTCTGTGTGTCTGGGGCTCTATTTATGCCATCTCATCTTACACTCGAAATAACTCCCTTGAGACAAGTGTCGCTGCATTGTGCGTGTGGTGAAATTCTGACGTGTGCAAGATAGCCAACAGCGACACGACATCAAAACTACCCTCGAACCCTGCGTCTACTGCGTTTGCCCTGCAGGGTCAGAATAAGGTGCTGTTTCCTTATTCAAGCAGCAGACGAAGGAGCTCGTAGCCGCCCTGCATTTAGCGGAGCCCTGCTGTATGGAATTCACTGATCTTTTTTTTTTTTTTTTTTCCCAAGATGGGGATTCTTCCCTGGCGAGGCAAAGGGCTCTCACGGTGACAGGTGACGAGGGAACCGAGAGCAATCTAAACTGTTCCACTCTCAGGCCGGGGCACGGCTTGTTCACAGGAAAGGCAGAATGGAACACCTGTAAAGGGTAGTCTGCTACCCAGCACCTGGCACACAGTAAGCCTCACGTGCGTGTGAATGGTCCTTCGAGCGATGCTCGAGGCTGCGGATTGTTGATGTTTGGTCGTAGTGTCATGTGAGACTCTCTGAGGAAGTCAGTATTTTTGCCGGTTACATGGAACCTCAGGTTTGCCAAGAGCTGGCTGTTACTGTGGGCCATTATGTGGAAATGCTGGCAGCACCCACCTCACAGGGTTGCCATGAGGATGACATCGGTCAAGTTAGCTAATCATCGCTGTCTGCACGGAATAGCGCCTGTGTGTAGTAAACACGGGTGAGCGTTAAGTAAACACACGGAACGCAAACTCTTCCTTGGAGGATGCACGGGAGGAGAGAATTCCTCTGTGACAGAATACGGCCTTCTTAAAATGGGCATTTGAATCCTTCAGAGATTACCATGGACCGTCATCAGAGCAGCTCACCTGGAAGCTGGCCCTTTAATCTGTAGGCTGTCATAGATGACAACTGTCTACCTGCTGAGGCAGCAGTGAGCCGGGTGACAACCTGATCTTAGGAGGTCATCGTGGAATTGCTGTACCGTCTCTTTTGTGAGCAGACCAGAGTTTGGCTTGTTGGGAAAAAAAGCCGTAGCCTCTTCAGGCGTCAGTTTTCCTCACTCATAAGAGGGCTCAATAATGGCTCTTTTCCAGAATGTTTTGAAGATCAAACGAGATTGCAGATTAAATGGCAGTCCACAGAAGGCTCTGCTGGCACGTGATTTCTGTTTTCTGTGCTAAGGGGAAGGAATCCTTAATCTCAAGCATTTAAAAATCATTAAACTTTTTTTTTTTTTTTTAATGAGAAATGTCATGAGCTGAAGGAAGAGATAGAAAGAGAAAAGGCTATTGCACTGGAAAGTCCACTGACCCTCGGCATCTAGCTGATGGGAACTGTGTCCTAGTTCGCAAAATGTCTCAGCCATAATGAAAATATAATAACTAACCCTTATCGTGGACTCGATGTGTTCCAGGCAGTGCTCTGAGTGTGTGTGTGTGTGTGTGTGTGTGTGTGTGTGTGTGTGTGTGTTTCTTTATTAACTCACTAATTCTCATCACCAAAAGAAGAACTGGCTACTTTTTTCTTTAGTTTTGATGTGACACTTAATCTGGCTGTATTTGGCAGATTTGCATGTTGATCTATTTGTTCATTCATGCTCTTGTTTGTTCCCAAACTTGCCTGGGCTGTAGCAAAGGCTGGCGACCTGACCCCATGGCAGCCTGGCCGGTGCTGACCACGCCACACGCGATTCTCAGAAAAGTGCCCTGGACCAGACACTGGGTTCGAGCTGGAATCCTCACACGCTGCTGGAAGGATTTTCACAGATGTGCCTGCCCGAAGCATCTGGGCAGCCGTGGCAACACTCCTTATTTTGATATCTATTGAAGAACAATAGATACTTGGAGAAAGTTCTGTTTTTTTGTTTTGTTTTGTTTTTACTGTATTAGTTTGCTCGAGCGGCCATAACAAAGCACCATGGATGGGGGAGGATGGGAGGCCGAAAGAACAGACATTTGTTTTCTCACAGTTTTGGAGGCTCGAAGTCTAAGACCGAGGTGTCAGCAGGTTGCTTCCTCCTGAGGCGTCTCTCCTTGGCCTGCAGATGGCCGTCTTCTCCCTGTGTCCTCACGTGGTCGTCCCTCTGTGTGTGCCTGTGTCCTAACCTCCTCTTCTTATAAGGACACCAGTCATATTGGGTTAGGGCCCACCCCAATGGCCTCATTTTACCTTGATCACCTCTTCGAAAACTATTTTCAAATACCATCTCATTCTGAGGTACTGGGGTTTGGTTAGGACTTTGATATATGACATGGTGAGTGAGGAGACACAATTAATTCATAATAAATATACCAACCAATAAAACGGAGGTCTGGGGAGGCTAAAAGGGAATCCCTGAACTATAGGAATCTAGCCTTGAAAAGAACCTTTATATTTTAGGAAAGTCGAGTACAGAGACATTAAGTGACTGGCAGGAGCTCGCACACTTGGTAAATGGTGACTCAGAGAGCGAGCCCCACTCTTCCCTCTCTCCTTCCCTGCCTCCCTTGCTTCCAAGAAGAAGAGATGAAGGAGCAGGCTGTCCTCGCCCTGTGCCCCGTCACGTACTACCTGTGTGTCTCTAGCCATTTACTAATTTTCCACGCCTCAGTTTCCCTATGTTCAAGACCAGAACAATCGTTACGGCAAAGAGTTGTTGGAAACTAAAATGAGACGAGGCAGACAGACCGGGCTTAGCATAAACATATTCAGTGGACATTAATCTCCTTTCTCTTGACTCATTGATGCAGCTGTGAATGAAAGCCTTGGCTGGCTTGTTATTTCGCCTAGCGCCCCTGTCGGCCCGTCTGTACCGAGACCAGGCACGCTGCACGCAGCACTGGCTGCCGTGGATGATCTCATCTTCATTTTGGGGACACGACCCTACCGATCCCTAATGCTAACAGATGTTGTCACCAGTCCCTGCAGTGGGGTGGGAAAGAATGTGGCATTAGCGTGGGCATCGGTGGAGGCTTCCTGGGAGGCAGAATTTACATGTCTTGCAGGAGTGAGCTTCCTTCAATGGTGGAACTGTATGGGGGGTGCATGGACCGGTCAGGATTGGCCGCTGGCCTTGGGGCTGAGGCGTATGTCAGTCATGCGCAGAGATGCTTGTGGGTGGGGGCTGGGAGGGTTAGTTACATTCCCGGGAAGGATGTGGAGATGCCATGGCCTGCCACCCCAAACTCCCCCCGACCCCGCGCCCCCTGTTTGTGTCTGGCATGGAAAGGGGTCGCCGTGACGTGATACCCACTTCGTCTCCTCTGAGTCCTGTCCCCAGGGCAAACTGCTGATTCCTCTCCAGGAAGCGGATTTTCACGTTGTAGACTTTGCTCCCGTAGAACACCACCAGCACGTAGGGTTCTGCCCGGGATCTCGTGGAGCAGTCCCGGACCAGGAAAGTGCCATCCTGAAGCACAAGAGAAGGACGGTTATTTCCCCGGGCCTGCCAGCGTCCCACCCGGGCCCTGGTGGCTGTGGTGATGCTCGCGTGTACGACATTCCCCCACGGCTTCGGTGTGTGGCAGACTCGTTCTTTATTCAAGTTAACTCAGCGAGTATTCACTGAATGCCAGTACGCATGAGGGTTCTTGTTATCTTCTGAGAAGTGTACCAGCCAGATGATGGTACCTCTTTCTCCAAATCTTCCGACGCCCCCCCACTGTCCTCAGTGTCATGCCCACAACCTGGCATGGCGTTGGTGGATAAATGCACCACGCTGTGCTGGGGTCTTATCCGGTGTCACTCCTGCAGTCTCCGGCCCCTGGAGTCTGCCTCTGGCACCGTTTTCAAGGGCACCGTCCTGCCTGCCGGCCGCGTGGAGGAGCCTCCTCCCTCCCTGCACCTGCCCACGTTTGCTTCTTTCCTGTTCTGCCTGGTACTCAGGGATCGGTCAGGAGACAGTGGGAGGCTTTGAGCGGGAGAGGCTTTTAGCATAATAGATTGAGCTTCTCTGTGGGGAGATGGCAATAGTTGACTTTTATATAAAATCTGAGGAGGTGTTTTATCTGCATTTTATATGTGAGGGAATTAGGGTCTAATTCCTTAAGTGACTCTCCTAATGGGGCATGGCTAATCAGTTGGTCCCCATCTAGAATGGAAAGGACAATACTGGCTGCTCGAGGCAGCTGTGATTTTGTGAAGAGCGCTGATCTTGAATATAGGCTCAGCGACTTTTTCCACGTTGTGACCGAGACCTTGACTTAGCCTTACTTTCCCCATCTAGAAAATGAGATAGTTCAATTTATTTCTAAGAGGTTCACGATACTCTGTTAGCGACTGTATTCATTTCCTACCATGAACTTAGACTAAAACACGAATTTTTATTCTCTTATGGTTCTGGAGGTCCAATTCCAACTTGGGTTTCCCTGGGCTAAAGTCGAGGTGTCAGCAGGGCTGAGTTCCTTCTGGAAGTTCTAGGAGAGGATCCACTTCCTCGCCTTTTCCAGCTTCCAGGGGCGCCAGAGTGTCTGACTCTGACTCTCCTGCTCTCTCTTATAAGGATTCTTCTGATGCATTAAACCCACTCAGGCCATCCAGAGTAATTTCCCCATCTCAAGATGCTTAACCTAATCACACGGGCCAATTCCTTTTGCCATGTAAGGTGACATAGTCTGGGGATCAGGGCGTGGACATCTTGTTTGTGGGGGGCTTTATTCTATTTTTCATAGCAACTTACACATACTTTATTGGATTTTATAATGTCGATTCTGAGAGTTTTATTAGGCTTTATTAAATTTATGGGGGACCTATCATTTATCCACCCATCCACTAATTAACTGAGTCATTCATTTTTACATTTCCTCTTTCAACAACGACCATCGTCCTTGTTAGTCGAGGATAGGTTTGCATGGCCTTGAGAGCCTTTCCTTCTAAACTGTCTAGTATAGTTCTCTGCACGTAGTAGCATAGTTGCGTAATAGCTAATTGCTCTTTGAGATGATGGTTAGAGTAGTCATTTGATCTGATTGCAAATATTCCAGTTTTTCTCTCTTTTCGGTCCCATGGTAGGTTTGTACTTCCCCACTCCCTCTGAAGTTAGGTCTGGTTGTGTGACTTTGGCCAAAGAAATGTGAGCAGAGATGAAGCACGTTACTTTTGAGAGGCTGTCCTAGGAGCCAGCGTGTGATTGGCGTGAGCACACACTGAGATGGAGCCTCCGGCAGTCTGGGTCTACCCACCCACTCACTCACACCCATCTTGCACGTGGAGCACAAGCCAGAAATATAGTTTTATTATGATGAGCAACTGGGATCCTAGGGTTGTTACTGCAGCATAACCTACCACCTCCTGACTATCACAGTGCTCATAATTTCTGCTCCTTCGCCGGAGAAGCTAGACTTAAAGACCCAGCCGTGCCTTGAGAGGAAATGTAAAGAAAGTGGACAGAGGAAGGCGTCTTCCATTACGATCTCCATTTCGACCCCACCTATGACATTCGATCTTCAAAATAGTTCCTTAGAGTTGATTTTTAACCAAGAAACTGACACTTAACGATATTGAGGAACGTGTGAAAGTCACACAGCTGAAAAGGGACACGATCAAGTCTCAGATCTAAGACTCTGAAATCCCTTTTTCAATGACGACCTCCCCCGTGTGGAGAAACACGAGATGGTGCAGGAACCGACCGACACGTCAGAGCACGGTGCCCGTTACGGCCGGTAACCCGCGGACAGGAAGCCGTGAGGGGTGGGCCCGGACGGGTGCATCACCTTGCTCTCCTTCATCAACGCCTCCTCTACCGCCTGGCGGCTGCACTCTCCGATGTACCATTCGCTGTGGCGGATGTCCTGCAAGAACAGGTCACATGATGACTCTTTTGGAGTAAAGGGGAGGTACTAATGATTAATTAACGAAAATTTACTTTCGCTCCACCTGAGCCAAATCACCGTTTGACTGATCGTTCAAAGATCTGTCCCTGGATCTGGGGACAGAAAATGTCACCGCCACTTGGGAATTATGAAACTGGCGTGTGAGTCTGTCTGCCATTGAAAGTAACCAGAAATTTCTCTCCATCTACCAGGAAAGGCCTTTAGGCGCCATGCGCGGATGGATAATAAAGGCTTCAGCTGTCGATGCTTTCTAAGTCATCACCTGCTGAAGGTGGGATGCTATCTGTGAAGCCGATGCTGCCGTAATGACGAAAACAGCATTGGGGCGGGGCCGACAGGTGCAGCCTGAGAACATCTTGACGCCCCTGCTTAAGGTCACAAATAGTGGGACTGGGATTTGAACCCTAGTCTGCTTGGCTTTATCCCATGCCACGCCCTTATGTATACCGATTGATTTCTTTTGATTATAAAATCTGCCATCACAGAGAAAAGGAAGGACGGTCAGATGCACAGTAGGTCTGCAGTTCCCGAGGACCGTATTATTAAACAGTGCCCTGCATGAATGCACACACCCACAGCCCCTCCTCCTCTGTTAGCCTAATCCATCTCAGCAACAGCCCCGGGAGGCAGGCATGTCGGGACAGCGGGGCTCAGGAAGTCAACATCGGTCACCTGGTTGGCAAGTGCTAGGGATGCGACATCAGGTCTTTGGTCTCTCAGTCTGAGTGTCTGGTCCTCTCAGCACGAAGCTGACTCTTCCAATGGTGGCTGCACCAAGTGCGTGTGAGCGCCATGAGCCAGCTCCCACCTAACTCTGCGGCCTCACTCCGGCCACCACCCAGCCTGAGGACGTGAGTCTGGCCAGCTAGATGTCCTTGTCACCCTATGGACACACACGAGCTGGCCCTGCTGCCCGGAATCCCTCCTACTCGCCCCACCCTCAGCTCTGCCATTCTCGTCCATCAAGATTGGGTTCAAAGTCATCTCGTATGCGAGGCCTCCTTTGGAGGAAGTTGTACCTTGTATTACAGTATATTGTTACAACTGTTCTATTTTATTATTGGTTATTGTTGTTAATCTCTGTGCTAATTTATAAATTAAGCTTTATCGTAAATAGGTATGTACAGAGAAAATCATAGTATATATAGGGTTTGGTATTATCTGTGGTTTCAGGCATCCGCTGCGGGTCTTGGAATGCATCCCGCGTGATTAGAAGGGACTACGGTATGCAAATGAAAGAATCTGGTAAAAGAGCAACATAAAATGTTATACAGCAGAACACTTAAAAATACTAAAACTCAGTAATATGTAGGCAGAAGGGGAAAAAAATGAAAGTCAGTCGTGAGGATCCCCTTTGAGGCATCCGTAAAACTCTATTTAGGGGCTGAGTTTATCTAGAAAGACAAAGTGGAGATGTGTCTTTTACCTTTTCATCGGACCTCGTGGGGAAAGGTTTCCTCCAGCTCATGTTTTTATAGCAAAGCGAATTTTCCTTAGGGCTGTAGCTGGCCGGAGACTGACATGCGGGAGGAGGAAGTGACTGGGTGCTTTCTTTATGATCTGGGAAAAACAAATTCACATTAAAACGTGACGTTGTTCCTGTCTCAGACTGGCTCCCTCCAACAAGGAGCTGGAGCCTGTCCTTCCTTCCTGTGTCGGTGGCAGCCTTCGTGGTCACCCCACGGGTCATCTCCTCTGGGCCCTTCTCCCGCTTCAACTTTTGCCCCTTTCTCTCTGGGGCTTCCAGAGTCATCTTTAAAAAATGTAATTCTGATTTTGCTACTCTCCCTGGTAAAAATGCTTCCATAATTTCCTGTACACCTGGAGGAAAACCCAAAAGTTTGACTTCTATCGATAAAGCCCTGAATAATCTTTCTCTTATGATTTCTCCATCATCCACTCATCTA